TTCCTTCCTTCCTTCCTTCCTTCCTTCCTTCCTTCCTTCCTTCCTTCCTTCCTTTCTTCCTTCTCTTCCTTCCTTTCTTCCAGAGTATTAGGATTAGGGTTATGTTTACTCAGGAAAGTCTCTATGGAAGAGCTGAGTCTTAAATGGAGTGCTGTGGATTTAAAGAAAGAAAGGAGGAAGAATGTTCAATACCGATAGGAAGGAGAAGTCAAGGACCCTGCTCCGAAGTAGGCATAGACTTGGGGGAGGCCCTATTCCCCACCCTCACCCCTGCACAGTGAGGAGAGGGGTCTATCTAGAGGAGAGAATGCATTTGGAGAGGAGTGAGAGGTAAGTTTGTACACGTAAAAAAGGTCCTTCCTGGCAGTGAGCACCCGGGAATTCCTCAAGGAATTCCTCAGGGAATTCTGACTCAATCTGAGAGGCAGAAGAAAACCACTGAAGGTTTCTGAGCCATGGCCCTAGCCCAGTTCCGAGCCAGCTTCAATTTCTCCATCTGTAATGTGAGGCCCTCAAGTCCCTTTGGATCTAAGAAGGCTCTGGCTACACATGTAAAACGGATGAAGAAACAGATACATCAAATTGAGCTCTAGAAAGGCCCTTTGGGGTCATTTAGTTCCAACTCTCATTTTACAGATGTGAAAACTGAGACCCAGAGAGAGTAAATGACTTACCCAAGATCACACACATATTACAAGTAGCAGAGCTAGGATTCAAACTAGGCCTTCTGCCTCACTTTCTTGCTGGGTGACCTTGGGCAAGTAATTTCAGGCTGTCTCAAGGATCCTCAGTTTCCTCATCTATAAAATGAGAGAATTGGATGAATAGTCTGTAAGAGCAGTGAGGCACAGTGTGAGAGGGTCTCAAGTCAAAGTTCCTGGGCTCAAATTCAACCAGGTTTCCTGCCTTTGTGACTCGGGTGAGTAAGTCACATGACATCCCTAGACTGTGGCTTCCTCATCGGTAAAATGAGGGGTGGGGCGAGATTGGACAAGTTGGCTTCTGAATTCCCTTCCAGCACCGGGTTTGTGAATCTATGGCCTAAACTGAAAATGGTATACTCTATTTCATTCTGCTCCCCTGCCCTGAGGTCGGGGGAAGCTTCCCAATGGCCTATCGGGAAGAGGACTGTCTCAGGTTCAGGCCACAGCTGCTCCATCCTCACCTTTGAAAAAAATAACAGGTTCCCCCAAAGATCTTCAGGGCAAATATCCTCCCACGTCCCTCCTGCCCCGTGTACTGCTCCAATGAGTAAGCAGTGCCACGACGGGGGAGGGAGTAATTAGTTGCTGCTTCCTGATTGGTTGGAGGAAGAAATCAAATCAATTTTCATGTCACTCCCAAAGAACCAGTGATGGGAAAGATTCTCTCATCCATGCCCACAGGCATTTTCTCCTATCCGCTTGTCCCAGTGTTTCCAAAGACTGGCTGGTGGGGAAATCCAAGACTGGGGAATCTCCCTCACTCATTCCCACCATGTTGGGCCATTCCTGATGTGGAGGTTCTCCTGGCCTGGGCTCGGGGCCAGATCCTTCTGCCACAGTGAGGGGGCCACAGCTGGCGTCCCCTGGTGCCCTGTCTCCCCGGGGCACGTCAGGAGGCTGGGAGCCAAAGAAAACTAATCCCCAGGATTAGTTCCCTGGGTATTGGTAACACTGACAACACAGCTTTAATTTCCTGATTCAGGATTCCTGACATACACTGAGGATGATAGGAGAGGAAAGAGGCCTTAGATGGCACTGGAGGGAGGGAGGAGGGGGCCTTGGAGGAGAGAAAAGGACAGGGATTTTCTCTCCCTCTCCCCTTTCTCCCTTGACAATCTTATTCATTCCCCTGGCTTCAACTACTGGACGAATGCAGATGTGGCCGCCATCTACAGCTCTACGCTGGATCTCTTTGGGGCTTCAGACTTGTTCCCAAGACTCCTTTCTGACTCAATGTCCCACCGGCACCTCAAACTGACCATGCTTCCACTGAGCTATTACTTTCCCTCTGCTAACTTGTTTTTCCTTCTGATCTCATTATGACCGTTTATGGCACCATATTCACCAGACCTTTTGTGCTCAGAATCTTGGGATTGCCACCTCCCTTTCCTTTCATACTCAATGACCAGGCCTTACTGATTCTATCTCTACTCCAACTCTGATCTCTATCCCTTCTGGGATGATGGACCACCTTCTCATACTATCATAGTCTCTTCTATGCTCTTTCTCCCATCAAATCTCTCCCTCTTCCAATTCATCTTTTATAGCATTACCAAAATAATTTCCTTCATACATATCCATTCTTCAAAGCCTCCTTATTGCTGTGAAGATAGAGTTTAAACTCTCTGCTTGGAGTCCAAGGCCTTCCACCATTTGGCGACATCCAGCATTTCCTGTCCCATCTCATAGGCTCATGGATCTATAGCAGGAAGAGAGAGGCCTCAGGCTGTAGGCTTTCCTCCTCCTCCCTCATTTTACAGATGGAGAAACTGAGGTCCAAGAAGGTCAGTGGGACTAGATGGTTTCTAAGGCTCTTTCCATCTGTAAACCTGATGTTCTTCTAAGAATTTATCATTGCAATGAATAATAGAGATCCTATCCCTGGCTTCATGGGACTTCTGTTCTCAGAGCAAGAATGTAATAATAAATAAAACATTAACTAAATTAGTATTAATTAAGTTACATTTAAAGGAATATTAATGATTAGTAAAAGAATATTAATAATAATTTTAATGGCATTTTGAGATTTACAAAACTCTTCTTACATAAACTATCCTGTGAAA